AGCGGCGCGGCTGAGCGGCCTCAGGAGCGCGGCTCCGGGGCTCGTGTCCGCGCGCCCTTGGGTCACCGCGGCCCCGGGGGGCGCCGACTCCGCCGCCAACTCCTGCCCACGTCGGTGTAAGTCTGAGGCCAGAGGTTACCTGGGGGATGGGAAGCAGCTTCAGTCGTTCCCTTTGAAGATGCGCCCTGCGAGTGACTGCGTGCCCTGTGCCTCAACTCAGTCAACGCGTTCCTCGTCCTTTTCGTATTTACAGTGCGTCTGACATACCTGTGCTCGGTGTGCGTGGGTCCGAAGGCGCTGTAACTGATTAAACCCGAAGGTAGGCGACCGAAGCCAGGCTTTGTGAGAGATGCCATTTTTGTATGTTACTTAAGAGCACGAAACTGGGGTCATGAGTTCTGACCAGCAGGAAACTTTGCCCAAGTGTTGTGAACTGAACGTGTGGGCTTTAATGAATAATGTCATCTGGTCCCGTCCACTACCCAAAATACGTGAAGTCCTTTATTTACAGTTGGGTAGCTTTGTGTACCTTTGTGCGTGTGTCCAACGCAGTGAAATATCGATAGTGTGTGTGTGTGTGTGTGTGTGCTGTCATTGAGCAGCATTTATATGGAAGTGAGTTATTTGCATGGCTTTGTCTGTGTTCCTTAAGATACATTTTTTGACAGGGAAGTTTTTATTTTAAAATTTGCCTTTCCCTGTGTTCGCCTTCAGTTTCAGATTGGCTTAATTTCAGGAGGTATTGGCGTGGCATGAATTAATGTGATTTAGTCAGGGGTCCAAAAATAGAGTCAACATGAAATTTAAAGCAAAGCCCCCTCTTCTACCAGTGAAAAATGTAAGCTGTTCAACTCACATGATGCTTACCCTTCCCCCTGATTCTTTTGCCACTCATGTGAAATCATATTTCACCAGTATCGGAGGGTTCCTCCTATAAGCCTGGCAGAGAAGAAGAAACCTAAGTATAGTCCGTTTTTATAAACATGAGACTGCCTTCTTACTTGTTTCATATGGTTGACTTTCTGTGTTACAGCCAGTAGAAACCGTTCCTCTGGAGACTTCAGTTAGGGAGCTAGCAGGACCGTTTACATATGAGATGCCTTTTCAAGGTGAACTGAGCAGCTGTAATACTGTATTTCCCCTTCAAAAGTTGAACCTAGACTTGTCAACCATTGTAATAGGCAGGATCACTTGCCCACCTCTCTAGTGGAGATTGAGATTAATTTAAGGGAAATGAGGATCTGGGACCGTGCTATTGAAGGGGATACTGCTGGTGATTTGGAAAACATTTGTGTTTGAATGGCCATCCTCAAAGATGATGGTGATAATAGGTTACATTATTCTTATGTTAAAACCTTTATGCTGATGTGTGGGAAGGGCAATCTATTCACACTGGACTACTTTCAATAGATAACAGAAACATACAGAGTAGAAAGTATACCTTTCTCCTACCCTGTTCCACACACCCAGTTCCCGGAGGACCCAGGGTTACAGACGCAGCCTTTGCTCTTATAAACATTTTGCATGGTTTTTTTTTTTTTTTTTTAACCTTTCCTCAAATGAGGACACATTGTATCCTCGGTTAGGCACCAGCTCACCCCCGCCCCTCCCACTGGCCGGTTTACTAAATCATGGCAATCTCTGTCTGTCTGAGAGAGTGGCAGTCTCTAACAGCTGCTGAGTATTCCATTAAGGAGGAACCATAATTTATTTAACCTCTTTATTGAAACATACAATATTTTTTTCTATAAAGTTATTGTAAAGCATTAGTTTTTGAGGTTTTTAAGTGGATTTCAATTATTCCCAACGGCAGTAGCAACTTGCTTCATTCCATCACGTTCCAGAAAATGAAGGCCCCCTTCTCCCCAGTGTACACCATTTGCTTTTATGTAACTTCAGAGCAATTGGTGAGTGTCTTTGGCATCTTTGCTGTGAAGTGAGAGGCATGCTGGTTAGTAGCTGAAGTCATTCCTTGAGTAACAACTTTGTTTCAAAGAAATAGTTCTTTGTCTCAGCCAAAAAAGAGAAAGGAACAGATATAAAATTTGGGGAATAAGTTGTAAGAAAAAATATTCCTAAGACTTTAAGTGTTTTTTGAACATGGGGAGAAGGCTCATACTTTAGATGAAATCGTGGCTGAAGATAGTTGTGCTTTATAAAACTTGTTTGCCACTGAGCACTAAAATTAAACCCTTCCCTACTGTGAATTATTACTAGCATTTCATGCCCTAATGCTGTTATAATATGGTTATAAACTTTACAGTTTGGGAGTTATTAACACCTCTTAAGGGGCAGGATGATTTAAAAAATATTTAGCTTTTTCTTTGACATGAAAAATTGGAGTCTTAACCATGTTTTAAAAAGAGAATAAATTGTAGAGATAATGCTAATGCTAGAAATTGAGCTTAATACATTGTACAGTTTGAGCATTAGTCAGTGTCGAGCTTAGTATTTTCATTGTGCTTATTTGTAAGGATTTTTTTTTTAAGAGTAGTGTAAGGTGTGCTCTTTTAAAAAAATATCTATTCTGTTGTTTTGTAAACTGAACGAATTAGTCTTTTAGCATTTAAGATATATTGTTTTTCCTTTATTATGTGGGACCTGTTATTGTGGTACAAAACTGCTAAGTTTTGTTCTTCCCAAATAAGTATTATTGGGCTTCATTTACTATCCCAGGCAACTTTCTAGGGGCTAAGATGTAGCAGATGTGCAGGACAGACTGCTACAAGGAGTTCACATTATAAAGCCAAGAAGCAATAAAGATAATATTGTGCAGTGTTAAGTACTAACTAGCTAAGTAACAAAGACTCTGTAGTAAGGAGGGGCAGGATAGAAACTGCTGTTTTACAGTGAGTGGCTGAGGAAGCCTTTCTGGGATGTAGAGGTTTGAGCTGAAAGTTGAATGAGATGGAAGAAGCCTGTGTTTTTGGAAATCTGGGGGATGAGTGGTTGGGGCAGAAGGAACCACAAGTGGAAAGGGCCTGAAGTGACCCTGAGCCTTGTATGCCTGAGGGATAGAGAGCTGCCACTGACTGGCCTTGATGGCAGGAGGGAGTGTGTGGAGATTGGTACCCTGAGTGTGGCATTTGTTAAGAACTGTTTCCCAAGGTGGGGAAGAGACTGGATGGTGAGGGTCTCTATTGATTGGTTCTCTATTGCATCCGCAGTGCCAGGTGTTGTCTCTGTACACGGTGGACTGTGAATATTTGTTGAATAAATTAGTAGTTTTGGGAATTATCTTGCCTGACTTTGGTCAAAATACTTTGATTGGCGGATCTTTAATCTTAGTTTTCCAGCTTGACTCTGAGCCTTGAGGTTAGCAAATCTGTTACATTGTTAATGTGATCTCAAATTATTGCTTTCAGTCAGTTGTACTTGATTAGTCTTCTATGAAATTCAAGTATGAAACCTTAAAAACCCACCTTTCTCAGTAAATTATAGTGATTTCTGAGAGATTTAGTCAGCATTTTCATCTCTGATTTCAACAAAATAGTCATTTGCTTAAGTGTAAAATTTCAAAGGTGACTTTCTTGAATATTGAGTGTTTTAATTCTCTTGGGCAGATAAAATACATGTAATTTATGCAGGTACTATTATTCTCATGGGAGGAATGAGTGTGTGCTCTATTTTAGGGAATATCAGGAATTTGTGGTATTTCCTTTTGTCAACTTCTAATCTGTTTGTCATTCTAAATATATGTGCCTTTATGTTAATTGAAAGCTTGGAAGATGAGTTTCATGCCAAGAAACTGCTCTAGATGTCTGAGAATCTATTGTCTTTTTCTTGACTGTGAATTTTGCACTTCTATTTAATATCAGGAGTTTTGTGATCCTGAAGAATAATAAGAATAAGAATTAAAAAAAAAAATTTCCAGTCTGATTGATACCTGAACATTAGTTGTTTCCACATAGAGTCATTTCATCTTTCAGCTTTCTCTAATAAATTGTGTGCAGACTCTATAAAGGATGGATTCCTTAACTCCTCAGCCTTAAAGAAGCTTTTGTCCTTTTGTCCTGTCCCTTGCAGTGAACGCTTTGGTTGGGCAAACGTGGAGCCTTAGGTACTTGAGTTAAAGCGCCCTTACCAATTCCTTTACATCTCCCTCTGTGAACTGCACAAATGCACACATTTCACATTTGTCTTACATCGAGTAAAATGGCAGCGCATACATGTATGTTGCTGCTGATGCTATTCCAGAGCAAGGCTAGTGCTTATTAGATGCTGTTTCATGGTTGTATTAGATTCCGGTGGGTTTATTTTTCATGTACATTTGCACACAGGTGAGAAAATCTTGGTACTTACTTGATCTTCCGGCTTTTAAGGCAGACACAGAATCAATTGGAATCCCTCTGTGTGCCTAGAGTTGAGACTGTGTATAGGAGTAAGTGGCAGTATCCTGAAAGAGCAGAAGGAGGAGATAATCCTTCCTAACGTGCTTGTGTGTCTCCCCAAGAGGGTACTTTGGGGTACTGAGGCCCCTTGCTATTGCTTCCTCTTACTGCTCCCCAGAGCAGGCTTCTACGAGGAGATCGTGGATCCAAAGCCATGGTAAAAAGGTGGTGGCAAGAACGTCTGGTAGAAAATAACTGGTGACAGAAGTAACAGTTCCCATATCTAATGTTAAAAGTGGTAATGGAGCAGAGTTGTAGATGGTCTAAAGGCAGGATTGTGTGCGCCTGTTGAACTGGGAGTGGGAGTAAGCAGGAGAGAAGTGAGGACCCACCCCCAGGGCGGCAGTGCTGCCGTCCTCAGGGCACCTGAGTGCCCTATAAACACTAAGGCAAGAGGGATGGCATGGGCGAGTCTCCGGGCCTGTCTTAGGAGATCAGGATGCCCAGTTGTTCCCCTGCAGCGGGCATGGAGACCCATGGCTACTCCTTGTTTCATGCCTCAGTGTTTACAGTGTAGTACAAAAGTGAAGAAGGTGAGAACATTTTAGAACCTCTTCAAAGAAACAGTTAAAGCCGGGTGCATAAATCATCAACCAGAACTTTATCCCGCGCTCATTCCTGAGGTGCTTGGATCACCAAAGTATATAGTAAAAAGTAAGATTGTTTTTTTGGGAGACCCTGGCTGTAATTCTGTAGAAGAGGTGTGCAGAACTTAATATGTGAAACTCTTGCGCCTAATAAAAGCTTAAGCATTCATACAAAATTGAAGAAAGTATAGAATTTGAGAGCCAGAAGGGCCTTCTGGGCATCTGTCAACTTAAAAAGTTGACAGATAAAGAAACAGAGACCCAAAGGCATTATAATTCGGCTATAAGGGGCCAGCAGTTGTGACTCCCTGACACTTAGCTGGGGTGTTTTGAGCTCCCTT